GTGAGGGCCGGGGCCCGACGCGCTCCGGGGTCCGCGGAGCCCCTGCCGGGGTGGCCGAGGCCGGGGGGACCCGGGGGAGCGGGCGGCCCGGCTCTCGGTGCAGACCCCCCGGCAGGGCGTCTCAGCGGGCACCGGGCACCTAAGCCCTTCGGGTGGGTGGCTTGGCCGTCCCCGGAGACGCGCTCCCCGCCCGCGCCACGGCCGCCGGGCACGGTTGAGCCCCGGGGAGCCGAGGAGTGCGGACGCGCCGCGGCTCCCACCGCTGCAGCTCGCCACCCCGCTTCCCCCGTGGCTTTTCCGAGTCTCCTGTCGCTGAGTTCAGGCTGTTACTTCCCTGCCTTGCCTGCCCGCTCTCTGCCGCCCTTGCCGGCCCTGCGGGTGAAGGGTGAAGGCTTAGGGGCTACCGATTTCCTAGATCCTCGACTCTCTTAGTTGTTTTGAGAGTCTCCAAGGCCAAGAAGTCATCGTTGGAAGAACGGAGCACCTGCATGGGAGGCCGTGCCTGTGGTTAAAAGAGAATTTTGTTACTGCTCCGTATCCGAAATCTGCTGTTATCTCTTGTACGGACTAAACCACCACACGCTCGTTCTCGAAGCGGGGGAGTCCACTTTCCACGGGCTTTCCCCGCTGTCTCACGGAGTAAAAACTCATTATTTTCATAATGGTATTCAGAGGTGACTCATTTTTTTTTCATGGCCTTTATGGGTGTACAGTGAAGCCTCCCAGCGGCCCTGTGACTCCCAGTGTTGTAAGACAGTGAAACGGGTGAGCAGCTCAGCCTGCTGTTTCTGTTTGAAGTTTGACGTTTTAGGAGATTGCCTAAGTACACAGCAATGCGCCTTTTTTCACGCAGTAGTTTTTGCTTTGGAAAAGTACAGCTATTTTTAGTAAAGAACACATTAGCATTTAATGCATTATTTTAGAATTGGTATGTAAAAACTCTAAAAACTGTTGACATTTTCTAAATGCTGAATGTAAACAAAAACTGTAGGCCTTTTGTTGTTGCTGGAGATGATGTTAGGGAAATGCTCTCCCAGTGGGTGTAGCCCCAGGCCGAGCAACTTTTGAAGTCATTTTTAAGGGTATTATTTACTACATAAGTATATTCACTATTTTTTAATCACAAAGTTACTTTTTTTTGGATAAAAAGTCATGGAACTGTGGCCATGATTAAAATATAATATGTTCTTCTTATGTACTGCAAATCTCCTTTTCCCCTTTGTAGGCATCTCTTTCTCCAAACCCTGGCAACCCACGCATGCATGCCCTCTTTAACTTTTGGGGTCTATAGACTCCAAAATTTCGGAACCACCTGGCAAGTTGAATGCTAATAAACATGGAGGGGAACATGCTTTTTCTCCCAATACTAGTAAATGATATTATTCACACGGAAATGCCTACGAGAGCAGGGAGTGTGTTAGAATGCCCATTAACTTTAGCAGTGGTGGTTATTTTTAGTCCTCGACATCTTGTTAGTTTCATAGTTAGCAAACAGTTTTCATTTGCATTTTTCGTGGTTACTAATGTGTGTGTTTCTGCGGTTTATTGGTCATTTTATTTAATTCCTGTAAATGCTTAATTTTCTTTTTGGCTTGTTCTATGGGGATGTAGGTTGTTGTTTTACTTTATTGATTCTCTTCATGCTTCACGGACATTCTACTGTTAAGTGGTCAAAGCCTTTCATTTTGTTTTTTGCTTCTGTTAAATTTTAGCTTTTAGTGCAGAAGTTTTAAAAATTTCATGGTTAAATCTATGCATCTTGTTAATAGACAGATCTTCTTGATGACTTCTAGGGTTTGTATATTGTTTCAGGAAGGCTGGTCCCAGGCTGAGGATTATAGAAATACAGGCTTATGCTCTCTTAAAAATATTTATTTATTTATTTATTTACGTTTGGATTTTGGAGAGACAGGGTTTCTCCATGTAAAAACGGCCCTAGCTGTTTTGAAACTGTAGACCAGGCTGGCCTCGAACTCACAGAGATCCTCCCGCCTCTGCCTCCTAAGTATTACTAGTAAAGGCGTGCGCCACCAACACCAGGCCATTATTTTTATTATTTTTAATTGTTGTGTGCATGTGTTTGTATGTGCGTATGAGTACAGGCGCCCCCAGAGTCCCCTGGAGCTGGACTTGTGCTAGAGTTACAGATGTTTCTGAGCTGGAAACAGAGTTGGGTCCCCTGTAAGTGCTTTTGACCATCGAGCCATATCTCCAGCCCCTTATTATGGTGTGTGGTTGGAAGCCTTCTGGGGCTGGAGAGATGGCTTAGGGTAAGAAAGCTTGCTGCACACGCCCCAGGACTTGAGACAGGCTCCCCAGTCTCTGTGTGCAAAGCTGTAAGCTTGTAAACTCAGCTCTGGGGGTTTGGGAGAGGCAGGCGGGTTGTTGGAGCTTTGTGAGAGCTATCTTAGTTTCAGGCACAGTGAGAGACTCTGTGTGTGTGTGGGGGGGGGAGCAGAGAAGGAAAGTGATGGAGCCAGGCACCTGTGTTGTCCTTTGGTGTCCATGAGGGTGCCTAGGGTGCCCTCACGCGCGCGCGCACGCACGCACGCACGCGCGCGCACGCACACACACACACACACACACACACACACACACACACACACTTCTTACTCTCTCTGCAATCGTTTGATGGTGGAGGGATGTTTCTCTGCAAGCTTTTGAACCTCAGTGATGAATTACTGCAAAGGGCACTTGGAACTCGGTGACCTCAGCAGAGCAGCTAACTGAATGGGCTTGCCCTGTTACGGAGACCCTTCTTCTGCGTGGCTCTTTGCGGGTCCCTGGTAGTTACTCGTTTCCTTCAGCCCTGCCTCTCTTTTGGAAATTGCTGAAATTCTTCCAGTAAATTCCCTTTGGCCTAAGCTTGCCATGTTGTTTTGTAGCCAAGAATCCACATTTCTCTTCCTAGCTTCCCTATGGGAAACATCACTTCTGGTACAGAGTGGCCAGCCGCAGGGCTGATGGGAGTTTTGCTCATTCCTGATTTTAGGGAGGATGCTGCTAATGTTTAAAGGAATGGGATGTTTTCCATAGGCTTTTTGGAGCATCTTGTAAGAAAGCTTCATTGTATTTGTTAACTGTCTAGGCCGTTCCCCTTTTCCACCCAAATAGAGAAGGTGACAAATTCTATCAATGTTTTTAAATTAAAACTCTCTTGACCTAGGATTGGTAAATATCTCAAATCTTAGTACTTGGGAGGTACAGGCAGGAGAACTGAACCCAAGGCAAGCCTGGGCAAGACCCTGTCTCAAAAAAAAAAAAAAAAAAGAGAAATCTATTGTGATAAATAATTATATATATTGTTTTCCCTGTGGAAATGTTATATAGAATACATGAATGTAATCTGAAAAATTATGAATCATCCTTATATTCTTGGACTAAACTTTATTTGCTTTATGTATTATTCCAGGGTATTTGGGAGTTGATTTGCTAATAGATGGTCTAAACTTTTCCATTCATGTTTATTATTGGTGTTTGCCTATTAGACATTTTTTTTTAAGACAAGGTTTCTTTGCGTAATCCTGGCTGTCCTGGAACTAGCTCTGTAAACTAAGTAGGCTGGCCTCACAGAGATCCGCCTGCCTCTGTCTCCAGAGTACTGGGATCAAAGGTGTGCACCACCTGAGGGCCTGCCATTTTTATAAAATAGGCTTAGGTCAAGACAATTTTTTTAAGTAAGTTGCTTTTTTCTTAGGAGTCGCCTGTCTCCTTTAGATTCTTAGGTCTATCAAAGTAGATGTGTATGTCCACAGAACTTTATTTTTGATGTATATGAAGTACGTATGTATTCATGGGGATGCATTCATCCATGCATGTAGATGCCGTGCGTGACCGGCGACGGTCAATGTTGATGTCTCCCCTGTCCATCCTAGTTGAGATAGGTTTTCTCACTGAACCTGGAGCTCGCTGGCTGCCTGGAGTGCAGAGATCTGCGTCTCTGCTCACCAAGTGCTGGGTTATGGATGTGTGTGTTGCTGCTCCCAGCTTCATGTGGCCGCTAGGGAATCTGAACTCAGGTCCCCGTGTTTACGACAAGCACTTTACCAATGGAACCGTCTCTCTACCCACCCTGTGTTTATTCTTAAAATTTTCTTTGAATTTTGTGCATCTTATGCCTTACGATAATGTTATTGGTTCTCATGTATCTTTTGTCTCTTCATCTGGATTGAAATACATTTGTTGAGACTTTTGTCTGTAATACAGTGATTAGGTTGTGTTCTCTGTCTGTGTGGTCAGCATTTCTTTTCTTAATTTAGAACTGGAGCCCTGGTGTGTGTGCAACTCATCCAAAGTTCAACCAGGTCACCACTTAGTAGAACCATGCTTTAGGAGTTGGCAGTGCTGCTGTGATGGCTGTGGAAAACTCCACTTTGGTTAGGCACCCACATTAGTGGCCATTTGTCTCTGACCTACATTCCTGAAAGGTAAGTTCCCAGCAGCCCTGGCTTGTTGCCTCCTCCCCAGAATTGTGTAACTGCTGTGAAATGATTAACTGCTTGCTCTGGCTTCTGTAAATTCGCTTGTTACTGTGCAAGGGGAGTAAGGCATTTCCTCACATAGCTGTAAGTTCCACAGAAACGAACGTTGTGGTTTTCACCTTCAAAAGGCCTTCCTTCACCCGCTTCTGGGAGGCACATCTCTCATTTAGGTTAGAGAGTGCAGCCCTGCCAGCAGTTTCAATAAAAATTGGGGTAATTATAATCCGAATCAAATCTGATAGTCTTTTCTGGGTGGTCTGGAACTCCATCACACTTTCAAGCCCCCAATGACCAGTTCTCCAGAGCTCTAGAACACATAGTACTGTAAAGCCTACAGTTCATGTGTGTGCAGATAGCAGAGTTCTTGCCCACCCACAACAGGCCTCAGAATTTAAGGCTAGCCTGAACTATACAGTGAGTTCAAAGCCAGCCTGGGCAACAAAAAGTCCTGTCTCAACCTCCCTCACCCCTCTCACCCAGCCCAAAACTCTGAAAACTGCTTGTTTCTCTGTGTAACAT